AACATTTGGGGACCGATCTTCTTGCAAACGGTCTTGAATTTTTCCAAATTTTTCGGGAAAGACTGCTAAGAGGGTTTTTTGAAGTTTTGCCCAACCACGCACCCACCCACGCACTCACTCTTTTGCGCCAAGCTATCTACCACAAGGTGGTGTAAAAATGATAGTATAGAGAAGAAAAAAAAGATAAATTATCGAGAAAATTAAAAAAAATTCAAAATTAGTTTCGAGGTCTCCATGTACAGGGAGATTATGGTTCGATTTTTGTGAAAGCGGTACAAAATGTTGCAAATTTTTCGGAGAAGAATTTCTTGAATGAGTTTTTAAAATCCGTGACACCCTGTGCAATGCCAGTACATCAACTGAAAAGACAAATAACTGCTAAAATTATTCTATTAAGGATTCGATTGACTTTCATTCAATTATATTAAGGTTTCAATTCAATGAAATTTTTACTAAAAAAAAATTTAACTCCAAATCTTTAAAATTTAAAAACCTTTAAATTGTATAACAAATATTAATTTCCTAGAAGGACTTCCGCTTCCGGCGCGATCGTGGTGACAGGCAAGGGACGGACAGTAGCGATAAAGTTAGGCAGTGTGTGAGAGAGAGTGAAGGGACGAGTGTGAGAGTGAGAGGGCGAGAAGGTGGAGGAGTGAGAGAGTGAAGGGCCGAATAGGGAGAATAAGGGGAGGAGCGAGAGAGAGGAGAAATAAGGCGAAAGACACGAGCAGGTAAGGCATAGAGTACGAGGTAGGATAGACGCGCGCGTGGTAAACAGACACGGGAGAGAGACGGGCAGAGAGGCAATAGCATAGATAGAGAGGGGACTAAGCGTGAGAGTAGAGGAACGGGCGGATACGCAACGGAAGGGAGGGAACACGCAGGAGGATGGAAGATAAGGAAAAGGATAGGATAAAAATAATAAGAAGGGAAAGGGGGAGAGGCGGGAGCATAGGTACGCTGGACGATTTATGGAAGAGAAAAAGGGATGAATTAGAAAAGAGTGGGGGGGAGGAGGGAGACATTTTCAAGAAAAGCAGATTAACGCAGAGATCGCCAGGAAAGGAGGGAGGAAAGGTAGAAACAGAGCAAGAGGAAGGGAAGCAAGAGGAAAGCAACAGCGTAGAGGAATATTTCGAAAGAATAATGGAGAAGATGAAAGAGAGCTTAATCAAGGAGCAGGAGAAAATGATAGAAGGAATAATAAAAGATATAAGAAAAGAATTTAGAGGAATAAGGAATGAATGGAAGGAAGAAAAACAAGAACTAATGAAAGAAATGGAAAAGATGAAAGAGAGGATAGAAAAACTGGAGCAGGAAAGAGGCAAGGAGGAGGAGATAGGGAGGAGAGAGAGAGGGAGAGAGAAAGAAGAGAGTATAAGAAATAAAATGTTAGAGATGGAAAAAAGAATGGAAAATAAAGAAAGAGAAGAGAAAAGGAGGAATGTGGTAATGAGAGGAGTGGAAGTAAGAGAGGGTAAAAGAAGGGAGGCAGTGGAGGAAGTTATGAAAATAATAGGAGCGAAGGCGGAGATAAAGGAGGTAACGAGAATAGGGGAGAAGAGGGAAGAAGGAAGAGAGATGCTACTGGTGAAGCTAGAAAACGAGGAGCAAAAATGGGATGTTATGGAGAAGAAGAGAAATTTGAGAGGAAGGCTGGAAAGAATCTCGGAGGATTTAACATGGAAGGAGAGGAAAATCAAATGGAAACTGGGAGAGATAGCAAGAGGAGAAGAGGAAAAAGGCAGAAAGGCATGGATAAAAGGAGGGAGAATAAGAATAGAAGGGAAATGGTGGAGGTGGGATGAGGAGGAGGAGGTACTAAGGGACGAGAATGGAAGGAGGA